AAAAAGGAAAAAAGGCTGAACTTTCATCTCATGTCATATTTGTCATCACTGAACACTAAGGCAGGCTCTAAGGATAAACAGTATCCACTTATGTCATAAAATATTTTGTCAAAATGCAGATGCAAAGTTGCTGAATTAGCATTGGCTTTACATAGCTTTGGCATCTCTGGAGTTGCAGCAAAGCTCTTTGAACACAGAAAATTCTGTGATGTGTAATGTGCCAAATGCTCCCTTCACTAAAAGCAGCTTGAGTTTCCAGGCGTTGTGCAAAGTGCTTAAAGCTGGCTGCAGAACAATGGTGGAAAATTCAGTCTTTAAATGGCCATTTTCTGACTGTGAAGCAATACCAAAACAGTTCCTGTGCTTCCAGTAATAAGTTCCATGCTCCTTCTTCCTTTCCAAAGACGACTTTTCACCAGAAAGTGCAAGGAGGCTGATGAACACACTCGGGAGAGAGTAACTTCTCGTGTGTCACTGAGTGTGCACTTTTTAATTCACAGCATATTCCTGCCGTGCCTTAAAACTTAGCAGGAGTGGAAAGATAAATATGAAGCAACCACAGAGGACTTTCTGCAGTTTCTGACCAGGCAAATTAAAGAGCCTGTCCTTAAACTTTTAAATTTTTTCAGTGTATGCAGCAAGAAAGAACAAACAAGCTGTGTGAAAGTCTTCAATTCCTCATTCTAATTCTCTGTTCATTTGATGCATGTGATCAGCAATGCCATTTCTTGCAGATAAGACTTGTGATTCAGAAGAAACAATTTGTTCCATTTTCAGTGTAATAACACATTTTTCATTTAGATTTTTACAGGCTTTTGTACCTGAAACTGTTAGCAAACACTTCAGTAAGTAAGAGCTAAATAAGACACTTTGCTGCATTTTAAAAACTTTTCAATGTAAACATAAGTTTCTGGTAAACCAGTGCTGTATTCACATTCTCCTTTGACTGTAGAACTGAACATTTCTTTTTCTTGATCCATATTTACATAAAAGGCATTTTGGTTGAGCAGTATTAGCCAAATCCAAGCTGTTTTATTTGGATCCCGTTCATTGCTTTTGACACCCATCTAGTGGATGCAGCACTGCACCACAGGATAAAATTCCTGTCACAACAGCCATGTGCAAGTCTTGCACATACTTGTAGTTATTTGATGGTGCAAACCACAGAGCCTATCCCAGCTGATGAAGCTTCAATCTTATCTAATGGACTTTAAAATTTAAGAAAAATCACTGTTTTATAATCTGACAGTGAACTCATTCACAGAAGCTTGCCTTAGTTTCTGACAGGGAGAAATAAGACTGGTAATAAAATAGGTATATCATGTCCACAAAAGGTGAATGAAGAAAATAAAACAAATCTGGAACCAAAACGACATGTTCCTTTAAACCAAAAAAATAACTTTTAATCAGTTGAATAATTAAGTCCACTATTAAAGAAATCAATTTAATAGTCACCCTGCATTCAAAATTTTCTTGCTGTCAGAAGACTTATATTTACCTTCATTTATTTCTATGCCACTTTTAACTTATGATCCAGAGTTTTCAGAAAAACTAATATCTATTGCAGAAGTTGGTCTTATTGAGCTAGGAGTAAACAGTCCTCTTTCTATTTTACCTAAAATTGCATGAGATATCTGCCCTCCTGCCTTCAATAGAAAAACAAAACATACAGACTGTGCATTTTTTAGGAGTCTGTGTGTTCTTTCAGCTGTTAAAAGACAAAAATTATTTTATTTAGACAATTAATTTTTTTTTTATGCAATTTGGATACAAAGAGCTCACCCTTCATTGGCATTGGAATACTCAGCAATTCAAACTCAAAAATACTGTTTGCTAGTGAATAATAGTAGTCATGCTAGTCATAATCATAGAATAATAGAATGGTCTGAGTTGGAAGGTCTGAGTTGAACATCTAGTTCCAGTCCCTGGACCACGACCAGATACACTTTCCACTAGACCAGGTTGCTCAAAGCTGCATCCAACCTGGCTTTGAACACTTCCAGGGATGGGGCATCCACAACTTCTCTAGGCAACCCCTTCCAGTGTCACACCACCCTCACAGTAGAGAACTTCTTCCTGATATCTAATCTAAATTTACCCTCTTACAGTTTAAAGCCATTACCCCTTGCCCTATCGCTACATGCCCTTGTAAAATGTCCCTCCCCATGTCTCCTGTAGGCCCCCTTTAGGTATTGGAAGGCTGCTATAAATGTTCCCTGGAGCCTTCTCTTCTCCAGGCTGAGCGACTCCAACTCTCTCAGCCTTTCTTACAGGAGAGGTGCTTCAGTCCTCTGATCATCTTCATGGCCTTCCTCTGGACTCACTCCAACAGGTCCATGTCCTTCTTATGTTGGGAGCTCCAGAGCTGAATGCAGTACTCCAGGTGGGGTCTCATCAGAGAGGACTTAAGGGGCAGAATCACCTCCCTTAACCTGCTGGTGACACTTCTTTTGATGCGGCCCAGGATACAGTTGGCCTTCTGACTTGTGAGGAGACATTGCCAGCTCATATTGAGCTTTTCAACCACCAACACCCCCAAGTCCTTCTCAGTGCTGCTCTCTATCCATTCTCCATCCAGTCTATATTTGCACTTGGGATTGCTGTGATCCAGCTGCAGGACCTTGCACTTGGCCTGGTAGAACTTTATGAGGTTTGCATGGGCCCACCTTGCAGACCTGTCCAGGTCCTTCTGGACAGCATCCCTTCCCTCCAGTGTGTTGAGCATGTCATGCAGCTTGGTGTAGTTGGCAAATTTGCTGAAGGTGCACTCAATACTACTTTCCATGTCACCATGACATGGCGGTGTGGTTATTAACTTATGGCACTATAAGCTGCAAAGGATATTTGACTGTAGTATTCATGCTATCCTGCCCTTGCTGATATGTTTTTCAATATTTCTTTGTGAGCAGATCTCACAATGATCAAAAGGGTGCAATGAATAGGGAAAATGAAATGAAAAGAGGAGCTTTGTGTTGTCCAAGATCACCCACCAGGCTGGTGACATCATTTGATATCTAATGGATTAAGCTTGTTAGCTAGAGATTGATAATATCATGTAGTAGTAGCACATTTGAGGACACAGAAAAAGTATTTAGACATAATCAGAAGAAATAAAAATTGAGAAGTGTTAGGACTTGCTGACAGTGAGTTGTTCTGAAAACTACAGTGCAAAGAGGACTAAATCGCTAAACTCTCTTGAAGTTTGTTTAATACCATTTTCTGAATAGTTTTCTGAAAAAAAACCCACACATTTTGCATTTCTACATTAAAATTGTGAAAGGTAATACAAAATAAGTAATATAGTCTAAGGGTGGTAGAAAGCTTGCAGTTCCAGGAATATGTGCAAAATAACGATGAAATAAACCATGAAATCAAGGTCCACTCTGTGCCAGGCAATGTGCATCTCTGTCAAAATAGGCAATATATGTTTCTTTGATTAGTTCATTTAACAGAGAAAACAAAGCCATGGGAATGCCGTCACTTCAGTATAACATTAAAGGTGCAACCTCACTGCAACCTCAGATCAATGGTGGATAACAGCAAGAAAAAAGCCAGTGCAGAGAGTAGCGTGTACCTGCTGTGACACCTGCGTCAGGCTGAAATCTAATCAATAGCTGACATGTATTGAATATTTTCTCTTCCGCTATATAATTGAAAATCGGTGGGTGTCCTTCACATGCAAACTTTTTTGAAAATGAGTACTTTAGATGGGTTCACTACAAATACATAATGGGATGCTAACACTTACCCATGTTTGAAAAATCGTGCAAATGATCCCCTGTTCATCCTTCATTCCTAAATGCTTTAGCAGTATTATTTGAGCTCCCATTAGTATGGCAAATGAACCCAAGCAGTTATAAGCAAAAGTCTCATGCACACATTTCCTTCTATAGTGTAAAGCTAAAACTGATCTTTGGTTTATAGAGACACAACCAACTAGGGAAACAAAAACCATCTTTCACTTCTAGCTGGGTAAAATGTGCTTCATCCCATCAGATGGAGACATAATCTTGCTAATCTACACATTTGTAACTTCTGAGATTGCGGACTACAACACATTAAGTCTAAAAATGGAGCCACATGCTCCAAAAAGACTTCTTACGGTACCAAACGCAGCTGTTGGGCTGCTAAGCAACACGGGTTGCCATGAGCACGTCCTTCCAACACTGCCCACCTTGTGCTAGTCTCTAATTGATTGCAGACTCCTATTGAAGGTCTTTGCACTGATTTTCAAAGCCCTTTGTGGAAACGTCACAGACTACATGAAAGAGCATCTTCTCATTCCTTCTCTTTCTTTCTCTCCCCTCACTCTTCAGCCTCTCGTGACCACAGTGTTCCCTAGGCATTATAAGCTTGTTTACCACTCTTAGTACCAAATACAAGAACTAGCAGTGCTGGATCTCAACTGTGTAGTTCAAAGACACAAATGACCACAGAATTCATGCTGCTTGGCAGTAAGCAAAGACAACATTTCTTCAATCTGTTGTAAAATAGGAACTCTAATGCATGCAAGCATGCCCAAGAACACACATATGACTTAATTTCACCTCATCACTTTGTATATTGGGGTAAGACAAAATATGTTCTTGACTTTTTTGGCTAGTAATGAATATTAGGGTTGGGTACTTGATAGCAAAAGAGTCCTCAACTGCCTCAATAGTGGGAGACGGGATAATAAGGGTCCAGCTCAATGAAACGTCATGTTTCCTCAGGTATAGAGCTCACGGATACTCTACGTGCAGAGAAGCATAAGCTTCCTGTATTCCTAATATTTTTTTTTCTCTACCAAACTTATTCTCCTTCACACTTGTTCTCTTTGGTTATCAGTACTTTTAAAGTATATTTCTTGTGTGCCTTGTTTTTTGTCTTAGTGGTGGACTTGATCAGGTCTTTATTTCCCCAAGCAGCGATTACCTAGTGATAAAGCTGTCAGAAGAGTGTTTATTACTTTCAAAACCCTTATGTCAATGTCATAAATCTTTTTCTCCTTTCTTTTGCAGTTTCGATGTGGACAATGGTACCTCATCGGGACGAAGTCCCTTGGATCCTATGACGAGCCCTGGATCAGGGCTGATTCTTCAGGCAAATTTTGTCCACAGTCAACGTAGGGAGTCTTTCCTTTACCGGTCAGACAGTGACTATGACCTTTCTCCAAAGTCTATGTCCAGGAACTCTTCCATTGCCAGTGATATGTAAGTACATTACAAAACACTTTTACTCTATGCTGTGTCCTCTCTCTTAAGATTTTTCCAGCCACAAGAAATTTCTTTTAAAAATCAAAGACAGTAATGACTTATGCTACTAAAGCCATGGATAATTGTTTATTTCTTTAAAGAAGCTTGTACTTATTTCTGCAGTTTTCTGAAAGTAAGGATATAATGAGGGTGTACCTGATGTGTTTATGCACTTTATTAGCTTTGACAGAATAATGAAGACAGTCAATACTGGTGTATCAAAACACTAAGGAGAACTCTGATTTCCTGGCTAGTAAGTTATTTTCCAGAGAAGCAATACAAACTCAATTTCTACTTCTTAATATTCTTAAGAGAAAGATTCTGTTCATTTGCATCGAGTATTTTTAGGTTTTTAGAGAAAGATTTACCAGCTGGCAGAAATTAATAAATTCAAGAGAGGCAAAAATTATCTCAAATAGCCTCTTCACTAAATGGCAAAATGCTAACAAAGGCTTTGAGGAAGTTATTCTGTCTGCTCTCAGTATTATGTAATAAGTGTATTTTCTGCTAGTGGACCACACTTTACAAGGATTGTTAGACCACAGGTTGCATGGTTCGTGGAAGTCAGATGCAAATCTCTATTTATTTGTAAGACACTAAAACCGTATTAAATGTCCTATCTTATAGTCACTTGTAAGTAGTAGAAATTAAGAATATTAAGAATAATGCTTTTTTTTTGTTTCCCTTATCTGCTCCAGATTTCAGTGCCAAGTAGGCTTTTATGGTCCAGTTATAAATCACTAAAATAAAGCACCAGGCTTGTAAGAGTCCCGTAGTGAATGAGGAAATCTGAAGCATTAAAAACCCAGCATTAATATAAATGTTGTTTTTTAATGAGGCAAAATCTAATCAATGTCCTCTTTAAAAAAAAAAAAAACAGTCAGTACACACAACAGAAGAAAAAGGTTTTCATAATAATGAGTGAGATTTCACCTGATATTTAACTTGCAGTTATTTGAATTGAACAATCCTATTTTCAGTTTACTTATTTTTAGAAATGTCGATTTGTCCATCTAATTGTAGCTCTCTTTCTATGTAAGTGTCAAGATGAGAAAAATTCATGCCTTTACAGAGGTTTTGTGTAAGGTCCATATTTCTGTTAAGCCCTGTAGATCAAAGTACTTAGCGAGCTTTGTGTCTAGTGTGACCAATTCTGGTTGAGACAAAACGAGCGAGAAAAAGGCCAATCCATCTCGCCTTGTCGTAAGGAAAAACACATTTCACTTGCAAATAGTAACCTCCTTCCAGTCATTCTTCCTCTGACAGATAACCTTTCTTTTAGATGGACAAGAGTCAAGCTTTTGTAGTGTGGCACTTGTGCCAGGTGTCGTGGTTTCAGCCGAATTTACCAAAAACCACACTGACAGATGGCCCTTCCCCTTTCCCCCCACCAAAAGAGAGGAGAGGAAGAGATAAGGGTATTTAGAAGTTTGGAATAAACTAAACTACTTTAATGAAGAACTAATATTAAAATCAAAAATAAGAAAATAATGAAATAGATACTATATATACAAAACTGTATCAAGCTCCCAGGATGACAGTCATGTCACTGGCAGGCACTGGGGAAGTCCCAGACTCGACTCAGCGACGGATGGGAGCTGGGTTTCAGCTTCAGAGTCAGGAACATATGGATCAAAGGCAGATGAACAGAGTCCTCTTCAGATGTCGGCCATCAAAGAAAGAGAGCTGGCCCTTTGATCCCTCAGCTTTTGTACTGAGCATGGGGCAGATGGGATGGAATACCCCAGTTGGTCAGGTTTGGGTCACCTGTCCTTTCCGCTCCTCCCCGCAGATGTGACCCCTCTACATTTTTGTGTTTCCACTCTAATGGGGTAAATAGCGAAAATTGGCTGACCTTGGTTGTTACAGCAATAAGTATAAGCAAGGGCCTCTCTACATACTGTTCCTTGGCATGTAGCACAAACATTGGTCTTATCATTCTGAGAATGAGCAGTTCTCTCCACAATATGCCGTTAATTGCAGAGAGTTAGAAGAGGCCTAGCTAAAATGTAGCATTACAGAACTGAAAATTGGTTCTGTTTTACTTCAAACCAGGACACCAGGATACCGTTTGGAAAGTCTTTTACATTCAGGAGGGCAATCTAGGTCACTGTGTTGTTTAGATGAGTCATTTCAATTAAGAATTCAATTAGTGCTCCATCCTAGAATTCTGGGTAATATTTCAGCACATGGCCGTAAATTGGATAAGTGATTTAATTACTGAAACACTGAGCACACTTTCTTTTGGATATTTGTATCTATTCTTCCATTCAAAATTTTCCTAAAACACATCTGTGTATAGAATTTATTGGAGCTCACAACTGGATAGATTTTCACAGTCTCCTGTTACAGAGGAGCTATTGTACTAAGGTAAATATTCCTGCCACTGCTTAGGATGGGAATATATTAAGAAATGTAAAAGGCAAGTTATTCTAATCATGGAATATTAATCATATATCAGTAAGCCTACTTACAAGAACCTTGACTATATAACAGAAATGAAGTAATATTAAAAAAAAAAAAAAAAAAGAATTAAAGAGGGGAAAGTTTTAAAAGATAAAATAGTATGGGGAAAAACATAAAAAATATCACAAAGGTCTTTATATATGGGTTCAAGGAGAAACTAGATGTGGTCATGGAAAGGAATCCCACTGAAGACTATTAAAATAGAGAAACCAATCTGATTCAGGACATTCCTAAAGAAGATGGAGGCTGGAACCCACATTACCCCAATTTCCCTTTTTCATCTATCTACATGCTTGATTTTAAGTATTGCATCTTTCTTAAGCATGAGCTAAATATATTACATAACATACACATCATTCAGGTAATGCAGATTAATTAATCGTACACAACAGTTTAACCTAGAATCCCTTGATTCTTCAGTACTTGAAACACCAATCTCAATATTTCACTTTGTAAAACAAAATAGAAAGCAACAGAAATGCATCTTTTATTTGGAAAGAGTATAACATAAAGATTTTTTTCACTTCCATTACTCTCAAATAGTGTGCTTACATTAAAACATTCCAATTCAGTAGCAGCAGATGAAGCAAACACAAAACTTCGAAGATTTTAGTCAAATACGGAGTGTCGTGATCAAAGGCTGCCAGTGGATGGCAGTGCTGAAGCACTGAATTCAACATCTCCCACCTTTCTCATTAAATTCTCTCGGCAGCATCAGCTGAGGAAGGGAACACAGTCCTGCTCAGTTCTTTGCAACTCCACGATGAAAAGATGGGGTCTGAGACAAACAAGGTTGAAGCACGAGATGATAACCGAGGGATTAATGCAGTCAGATACTACCCACAGAAGAAGGTACAACGTGAGTCTCTACGCCCGAAGTAATAAGCCTCACAGAGCAACTAAAGGCAGTTTCGTTCAGTGAGTTGAGGTGGAAAGTCACAGAAACGAAGGCAGAGAAGGAGGAGGTGGAAAGACTTCTAAAAATCAGAGAGACTAAAGTACATTTTAAAACGAGGAGCCAAGTTAGCTATGGAAAAGAATAAAAGACAGGATGAATGCAAGGTTGCTCAGATGACAGAAGGTTAGTGAGACAATGTGGGTGCAGTTACAGCACTGAAAGAGGCAGAAAAAGCAGCTGCATGGTAAGAAAGGAAAAGCAAATAAAAAGGAGTGGGAGCCAGTAACAATTTTATTTTTTAGTTATGTCTTGGAAGAAACAGCACGGTCATAGAGAGGAAAAAAGCAGAACATTGAGATGATATGAGGAGATGAGCCACTCAAGGTTGTGAACTGTTGCTTAGACAGGAAGATGCAATGTCCAAGGCAGAAGAGCCCAGATGCATTGTGAAGCCTGGCTAAGAGATTTCCAGCAGAGAGATGAGGATGTGCAAAAGAAAGAGAAGTGATGAGGAAGCCAGTGAGGATCAATGAGCCAATATGTGGAATTACAAGGCAGGATCTGTGGTGACAGACAGGAAAATCATTTTAAAGAGAAGGAGAATAAAGAATGGAAAATTGAAAAAAAAAAAAAAAAAAAACCCCCAAAAGAAACAGCACGGTCATAGAGAGGAAAAAAGCAGAACATTGAGATGATATGAGGAGATGAGCCACTCAAGGTTGTGAACTGTTGCTTAGACAGGAAGATGCAATGTCCAAGGCAGAAGAGCCCAGATGCATTGTGAAGCCTGGCTAAGAGATTTCCAGCAGAGAGATGAGGATGTGCAAAAGAAAGAGAAGTGATGAGGAAGCCAGTGAGGATCAATGAGCCAATATGTGGAATTACAAGGCAGGATCTGTGGTGACAGACAGGAAAATCATTTTAAAGAGAAGGAGAATAAAGAATGGAAAATTGAAAAAAAAAAAAAAAAAAATCCCCAACAACACAGTTGCAATGCTGGGTAAAAAAAAGGAACAGAAACCAAATGAAAAATGAGGTAACTCATCAGTGTTGTACTGGAAGGGTTGTCAGGTTTTCATTTGAAGGCATTAGTGAAGCAGGGAGTTTTAAATGTGGGTGTCTTGCAGAGGTGGCCTGATTACTTGGTACTTACCTGTTCAAACTGCTGTTGCTGCTCCAAGGTAGCAAATGCAGACAGAGGCGGCAGTGGTAACACTTGGCTAAGGGACCACTGCTCCGATTAACCAAGCATGAGACTGGATTTGTAGACAATCTCCATCTTAGCAAAAAAACAGGTCTCTAGGTTAAAAAAATAGATTCTTCGGTGGAATCATTAGCACTCTCATGAACACTAGAAAGAAGCCAATAAGCAGTGTACACTAGGTGGGGCAGAGCCCATATTGTAACTACCACTGTAAAGACAGACAAGCGTGTGTAGTCCCCCTGTGATCCTGAGGAAGCAGACCAGAGTGTAGCAGACCAGACCAGAGGACCAAGATGATGTTGGTACAGGAGTCTGTGTGAGTTCCACTATTTCTTCTGAATGTACCCAGGGGAAAAGGCATGTGACAATAAGCACTCCTTAAGTCCACCC